TTCTTCTTCTTGGAGGTTTTCCTTTTGGGTTTCGGAGGCGGTTTCATATTCTTTGAAACGGTCGCGACGTTCTTGGGCATCTTCACCGGGAGAGCCATAGCGAGGATTGTTATTAACTTGTTCTTCGAAAATTTTATCTTTTTGGGCTTGGTCTTTTTTGGCATGGGCTTCTTGTTGTTTTTGTCCGGAGGTCATTGCTTCTCATAGTTTCTTTTTTTCTTCCTTGGTTTTGGCTTGCTGGTAAGCCTGTTTTAATGCTGCTTTTTCTTCCGCTGAGAAGACCGGGTTATTATCCACCATTTGGTTAAACATGCTTTCGGCGGTTTTGGGGTGAATGTCATCAAACATTCGATTAAAGAGTTCTTCCATCTTTTTGGGATTAGTGCTTTTGGCTAATTTTTTAATGATGTTAGCCAGTTGAGCGGGGTCAGTGAAAGCAGTTTGGAGGAGTTCGAATTCGGCGGGAGTGATACCGGCTTGCTCGATATCCCTAGGGGTGATTTTTTCAGTGACAGTTTTTCTGGTCTTGGGGGTTTCATCCTTGGAGCGACCTTTTTGGGCTGGATTTTGACTATCCATTAATTCGAGAGCATCGGGACCAATTCGGACTAAGGTGCCTTTTAAGCGGGCGACTAGTTGGGGGAGGGTTTTAACTTGGTTTCTGTTAAGGAATTTTTCGTTGATTTGTGCAGTGGTGAAGTTGGTGAAAATGAGATAGTGGGAGAAGCCGTTGTGGGGGTTGATGGTGTGGGGGTCATCTCCGGCATAGTCAGTTTGGTGAGAATATTGGAGTTGGTTAGTTATCCAAAGCACACTTCTTTTAGAACTCGAACCCCAACCAGCCACTCGACCATTGCCTAAAACTCTAAAACCACCAAATAATCCTTTTTTCTTTAAAATTCCAATAAAATGGGAAGTGTCATCCAAATCAAAGGCTTTGTCCATAGTTCTAAAAGCACGAGTAAAACGATAGGATTTTTGTTTGACACCAGGAACACCAAAAGACACTACTAAATCTTTTTTTCAAGGTCAAGCAGTTCAATTTAGTTTTTTGGCTCGTTTATCTTCATCTTTTTTACCACTAATTAATAATCTTTTCCTATATCAAGCTGACATAAAACCATCACGTTTAGGTTCAAAGTAAGTATTATCTTTAACTAATCTTTGGAAACCTTTTTTATCTAGGTTTTTGGCTCAAAAGAAGTTGTGGAAAAGAAAATATTTACCTCTAAAATCAGCAAAGTCAACTGCATCCTCTTGGATTTCACTTCTAAAAAGACACAGTAATAAAGTAATAATATCACCTGAACCATGCCTAAAAGCCGCCGCGGTAGCAGGGTCTTTAACTGACCAATGCGGACAACCATGGAGTCCAGAAGTTCCCGAATTATCAATCCCAAACCCCATCACTAACCAAGGCATTTTTTCCGCTTGTTCTTTGGTCATAGTGGTTAGTGGGGGGAGTTGGGTGTTAAGGGTAGGAGAGTCATGTCCTTGGGCTTTACTATCTGATTGGAGGTTTTCATTTAATTTATTGACAATATCATTTAATTCGGAGGAGTCAAAACCGGTGAATTTAGGGGGTGGGGTGGGCTTTCTTTACCTGCTGCTTCTTCCTCGGTGGCTTTTCGGCTGGGAGAACTGGCTCGACTGCTTTTTTTT